TTCTTTTCTCTTCTTTTGCCTTTTTTTAATTGGGATACGATCCCACATCTGCAGCATGAAAATCCGACACTCTACCCTACTGGGCTGGACCCTCTCGATTTTCCATTTGCCCCTACTTATCTGTGATATTCTTTTTTATATTCGACAACCAACCAGAGAAGCTGTTTTATGTGAGTAATGAAACCTATTCCAGATGAACCAAAGCATATTAAATATATTATGTCCCCATTTTTCAATTGGGGAAATGCATGCACATACCCTTCGAATTGGACACAAATCCCGACAAACATTACTTGGCCGTAAATGGAATGCCAATTGATTATCTACCTGAAGTGAAATATTGTCCCAAGGAGGAGAGAAGACGTTACTAAGTTTTGGGTTTCCACTTCGAGCTATGTTTCACGTAGGAGATCTCGTAACTCGAGCAATGGGTCATATCATCCCTTCGACATCCGCCGGAGCCATCACGTCCGAAGCTGATGAATCTGAAGTTCGACCTACCAACAGAAGCGCACTCCCAATGAAGCTCGATAATGGAGAAATGTACAACGTGCAATTTGTCAATAAGAACACTCCGTGGTGTAAGTGGTGGTTTCATAGGGAACCCAAGGGATGTCGAGGGCGGGGGAGGACTCTTCAACGGGACATGACGCGACAGGAGGGCAAAACAGAAGGCCTCAACAAGGAGAAGTGGTGTTCAACCGAGGACTCAGAGCAGCTGCCAGCGATCAACAGAGGACAACACCAAGTAGAGGAGAATCTAGCGGGGCAGCAGAAGAAAGGCATAGCACAAGTGGAGCAGTGACGATTTGTTCCGGCGACCGGTCAGCATCCCCAGCAGGGGAGGTACATGGCTCGGGACTGACAACGCAATACGCGCCCGGAGAGCCTTACCCATCGGGAAGAATGAACCAATCCACGCTGGTGGACAAACGGGCGGGCTCTTGGGCATCGATCCCTGAAGCCGCAGACCTATACTTGTCGGCCTCAGGGCAATATTCCATGTGGCAGCAACCGCGAATTGGTGACATGTTGCATGGTCAGTGGGTCAACCCCACTGTAGCTGGCTTCCAAGGAGGAAATGCATATGCGCCTCTTGGCGGGCAATTTGGTCAAGGACCATCGGAGTTCTCAACACTAGAGACCTCAAGACAGAGACCAGGAATGGAAATAAGAGTGGTAGCAGAGGATGAGGCTGCCAGAGAGAGGAACAAGAGATCACTCGAACAAGTTCAAGCAGCGAGCTCCACACAAGGGGAGAGTGAAGGCTCATACAGCGCAGGCAATGGAGTGGAAGGCCTTCACAGAGGTGTACTGGGTGGAGTTCGGACAATCGACATAGGAGAACAGCAGTTCGAAGAGAAACTCCTTTTGCCACTGGTTTGCGCTTTGCTGGGGCAAGAACCGTATATTCTGGGGCTCCTGAACAGACATGGAAGAACGGTGTTGCCGACAACCCTATTTTGCGGTGTTCCCACTCCAGAGCTTATTGAGACTAAGAGTAAACGAGGTAATTAAATAAATTTTGATTTTGGCAAAAGAAAAAAAATAATTAAAAAATATTTAAATTTGCAATAATTAATTTCGCAAAAGTTAAATATTTAATTAAAGAATATTTAAATTTGCACAAGTAAAAATGAATAAAGTTTAAGCAAGTTTAAACATTTAAACATAATTTTAATAATTTCACAAAATTTAATCGGGAGAAATTAGCATCATTATGAGGTCACTAAGTAAGTAGAAGATCAATGGTAGTAGGAAGATACACAATTTGCTGGAAAGATTCAACCTTTACAAGTTTACAATCAATAAAAGATGCGTTTTGCAAAAAGTGAAAGTTCCGTGAAGTTGCAGTTTGAATGTGGCCGTGCTCAGGCCCGATCTGCCTTAACTGGCGCGGTGCCTGGTTGGCACTTACTTCCCATAGGTTTGATAGGTCGTGTAGGTTAGATTAGCACTAACCCTAATTAGCGTTAATTAGGTTAATCGTGATTAGCGATTTCCTAATTTGTGCAGTATGGAGAAAAGTAGAAAGAACCTAAAATTATAATTCAAACGACCTAATTGCTATGTAAGTACGAGAAACGAAAAAAAAAATTGCAACTTGCGATTTAATAATAACAGAGTACAGGTCTAGATAATCAATCAATCAATCAATGGTGAGTCATCCAATGCTGGTCTGCTCCGATACCAAACTGTTGCATACTCATGAAACACAGTCATAAGTAAGGTGCAGATTCCCAGAACCGACCAGATAATACAGAGTTGATACAAATGCAGCGGAAGACTTGAGATACATGGACTGACTCTAACCCGACTCAGGCTGCAATCAAATACTCTCAATCATACATCAGGGGTGTGAAAGCCCTGGCCTTGGACATAGACGAAAGGCCAGGGTCTGAGATCATCCACGGACGAATGGAGGGAGGAGAGAGACGAAGGGAGGAGGAGAGGGAAGATGACGAACTCAATGTTTCCAAAGATAGTATCTTGAAATGTCAGAGGTAGCGAAAATCCGAAATGTCACAAACACAGTGTCTCACAGTGTCTCAGATATCGATCTCACAATGTCAAGTACATCTCCAGAGGAAGATGAAATCAGATCCCACGAGAAGTCCTCAACCTATAGTCCCAATGTCGCTCTCCAATGTCATCAGAATTTGTAACCATCCTTCATACTTGTAGTAGTCCCGTAGGAGAACCCAGAAGTAGACTTAGACTGAGAACGTAGGAGGAGAGAGAGAGAGAGGGAGGGAGAAAAGGGGCGGAGGAAACAGAGGGAGAGAAGGCAAGGCCTTCCTCCCCGGTACCTGATCCGGTAGCTATGGCGCGGCAGGGGCTGCTGCGCTGTTTCCTTCTCGCCGCTGTACTCGCCTGCTCCTCGCTGCTCAGGCTAACGCTGCTCGTGCTGCGCTAATCCTGCTAACGCTGCTGCAATGCTGCGCTAATCCTGCTAACCTACCGACTGAGGCTGGTACCCAGCTGATATAGTGCTGGGTCAGCCTCAGTCCTACTGAGGTCCTTTGGGTCTGGACCGTCAGTCAATCAGGCCCAACGGTTCAGATCCGATTTCGGAATCTGAAAATGGGCGCCAAACTGCGCCGCCGGCTGGGCCTACCGATGAACCGGTACGTGGCCTAAACGAACTAGCTGCTGGGTCTGGTGGGGTCTAAACGAGGCCTACCGGACCTAAACTGAACCGACGGGTCCTAGGCCTACCTGGACCTAAACTGGGCCTGTCGTGACCCGGTAACTAGGCCTGAACCGTGCCTGCTACAGAACCGGGCCCTAACTGGGGCGTGGTATCAGTATGCCACATCTTCCTGCAGGACCCATAGCCGGCCTCCCCATTGTGAAAAGACATACGTCCGTGGCCCCATCAACCAGTTAGTGAACTTCATCTATTTCATTTATCTCCTCATCCCACTACGCCTCCACATCTGAACCTTCTCAATCACTGCTGGCACCCATTGACAGACATGCAAATGCTACAAATGTGTGTCATGTCCCCTCCTACAGACGTCAGCCCCTCCACCCACCATCCATGATGTCCCACTCAACCCACGAACAACTGGAGATCTAGCCCCCTCTCCCCCGTGCCAAAGTGTGACTGGAAAGCTGTGTGTTGAGGAACCTCCCCTCCCTGTCGCTCCCCATCCAATTCAATGGACTTCTCAACAATCTCTAGCATGTTCACCATCAACGTCACTGTGGCTGTGCTCATCATGCTCAGTGATAAATAGAAATTAAGGAAGGGTCCATCCCCTCTGCAAGCTCCAGAAGAAGTAACAAGTATGGGCCGCCGCGTGCTCAACAACAGCACTTCCAGTGGTCAAAGACCCACAGTGTTTCAGGGTTCATCTCACAACCATGGGAGTCAATCCAATGAGCGGGCGTTCAAAGTCGGTGCGTGCCATAAGAGCTACTTTCGGTACACATTTGACTGCACAGATCCCTTGGGCCTGTCTACGTGCGCTTTACATATGGACCAGACAGCTAGTTTTTGTAACATTTGGTGGCACACAACCATTAGCACAAGAAAAAGCAGGCTTCGAGCAGAAAGACAGGCATGCATTCACAGGAGGTGCCACAGAAGACAGTGCCTGGTAGGGTGGACAGGACAAGGCCACCGCATGCTCAATGACATCACCTCCATCTATTGTTGTCCATCGAAGGCCCATTACACTTGCAGTTTCATATCATAACCAAGCGGGCGTTTGAAGTGCGTGTGTGCCACACCAGCTACTTTTGGTACATGTTCGGCGCAACACAATCCCTTGGGCCTGCCTACACGGGCTATGGATCAGCACAGCTACCTTTTTTACAGATTTGGTGCCACACAATCCCTCACGGCTGCCTACATTGCTTTGCTAATGGACCAACACTGAACCAGAAACACCACAGGTTGGCCAGTTTGCCACCCACCGTTAGCTTCCAATAAATCCCTTGGGCAAAAACGGCCCTCGCTGCACTACTCAGCTCAACCCCCTCTCAGGGTGACCCCAGGTTGAAACTCATCCAAGGGCACCACCGCTGCAAGCACTCACCCTGACAGTCCACTCACTTCAGGTGCGTCCAGACCAGCAGGGTGAGTGATGTGCCGTGGTGTAATCACCCTTTTCTTGGTTCAACTAAGCGGTCAGCTGCCTCAGCAGTGAAACTCGCCCAAGGGCATCACCACTGCACACACTTACCCGGAACTCTGCTCACGTCAGGTGGGTCCAGACCTGCGCAGCCGGGTGAGTGGTGGCAATGGCCCCGCGAGGCCAGTGCTGTGCAGCAGAGGGGGTCCAGACTGCACGTCGTAAGTGGGGACTCACTCACCTGCCATGGCGAGTGGCCCAGAGGACCCACTGCAAGAGGGCAAAACCTGTTTGGCCCACCATGGTGAGTGCCCCAGAGGACCCACCACAATCAGCACACTGCAGGCAGCCTGAGGCAGGCAAAACCGTACCCACCACAACCCACACAACGCCGGCAGGCAAAACCTGTATCGGGCTGAATTCTTTTCTTTCAATGTTTCCACATGAAGGATTGTCAGAGGAGCCGGGTGAGGGAGTACTCACCCCAAAACCAGCTTGGGAGAGTACTGCAGCAAGGCCCTATGGCTGTGTCGCCCTTGGGTTTCAATGAACCCACGGAGTTTCAAATCTGACAGTTTTTTTTAAAGGATTGGGATTAGGGCGAAGTAGGACAATGCTGGACCTGCATTCTGAGACTTTTCAAGGTGTGTCGAACGAGACCCTAAAATACCCGCCTTCTGGCTGATGGAACACACAAACAAGGGCTAATAAACAGATCATGAGTTCCAATCCTGCTGGGTACAGTACCGGTCGGGGCTACCGCCTTGCTTCACAAAATCGAAGGCAATCAGCAGTCGAACCTTTGTTCCTGGGAGCCACTTCCTGGCTCCAACCAGTCGTGTTTAGGCTGGTTCTAGGCCGTATCCCTTATAGGCCTATTAAATCAGTAGTGTAGCGCTTCCATCGCCTTCCCCTCTCTGGTCTTTTAGTTCCTCTCCCTCCCCCTCCTTTTAACCTTTGCCTCTCCTCTCCCCCCACCTTTGCCTCTCCTCTCCCTTCCACTCTCCTCTATCCCACAGCTTTGTTCTTCCTTAGTCTTAATCTTCAGATCCAAAACCCCCCATTCTGAGACAGCATCGATTACACTTCTTTGCTACCTAGTCTCCCTACATCTATAATGTAGCTGAAATCTGTTGTTAACTTTTCAGCTCTGTTGATGAATTTCGGTTCCTAACTGGTGCCGTAAAAAGCGAAACTGGCTATTGCTGCCAGAGGTAACCGTTACTACTACGGGTTGAATTGTGGGGTCCCCGGCCCCGTTTCTTCACCTTTGCAATCAAACAAACATCTTCAAAAAAATGAAAAATAAATAAAAATTCACATCATTTTATCAAAGAATTCTCTCATCCACTCAGGGCGGAGGTCCCCCTCGCCCTGGTTCTTCTGTGTTTCGGACCGTTGTTCATTGTGATATATCATCATCGAACTGACCCGCCCTACCTTCTTCCCCCGAATACAACGTACGGTCATTATAGCTGTATGTGAGGCATCTTTCAGTCTAGATACAGCTATAATGACCGTATGCTGTATTTCGGGGAAGAAGGTAGGTAATTCAGAGGCGATATTTTACTCATCTGCTTCCATTGAGTTCGAACTCGGGTCTCTATTTCAACAGTTCAGGGGTGTACTGAGCTACCTTCTTCCCCCGAATACAACGTACGGTCATTATAGCTGTATCTGGACTGAAAGATGCCTCAAATACAGCTATAATGACCGTACGTTGTATTCGGGGGAAGAATGTAGGCCCGTTTGTCCTTCGGTCATTGTAATCCACAGTGCAGAACGGAGATTCTGAATCCAGGTACGCGGAACCTTGCCCCAGACCCATCATTACGGAACCACCACTCCGCACATGATCGTGATGGTAATCAGGACAAAACAATCAGAATGGCAGCAGATCTTGGCAGACACACGCTCTCCACCTCGCCTACAATGACGCTGACGACGAACTGCTGAGCTGCTGCACCGAAGCAAGCACAAGCGAACAGGAGTAGCAGCCACGCTCTTATGATGCTAACGAAGATGATGAACATGAGGACAGTGGACAAAGGTGGATATCTATCCGAGGAGAGGGAAAACAGACAGAGGAGGAGCGGATGATCAGCAGTGGATAGATATTTTTTTCTCTAATGTGGATGCTCTGCTTACTCGAATGGTGGATTCAATTAACACAAATACAATGGCGAAGTGACAATAAACGCGTAGAAGGTTCTTTTTTTTTCTGAAGATTCCAGAGTTCTGCACTCCTCATCTTCCTATCCATCGTCCTCATGATGCTAATGAAGATGAGGAAAGGCAGGATGATCGAAATGAGGGCGGCATCAATGGGAGATTTCGGTTGGTTCGGCGTGGCCCCTCTTCAACAACCCAAACTCATTTCAACCCCATTCACGAAAGTCCATGACTGGTCTGATAAAGATCCTCGTTTATCCTTGCTAGCTGGCAAACCAGGATGTGCATGGCGATCCGCCTACCGTCTTTCCCCAAACATTATGCAACCTGGCCACGAATGTATGCAAGCTATCATTTCACTCCAAGACAGTCATAATGAGGGTGCGTTGTGGGCGGGGGAAGATGGTAGAGATATCAGATTGCAGCTCGTGGATCGTGGATCGTTGATCGCAGCTAGTGGATCGTGGATCGTTGATCGCAGCTAGTGGATCGTGGATCGTGGATCGTGGATATTGGATACCCGTCCGTCCCGTGCTTTGCATGATCGAGATTCGAGTCTGAAATCAACCTCATTAGACACGACAGACTTAGTAAACCTTGTTCCTACGGGTTATGGGCCCAAGTCCGTCGGATAGTGGATCGTGGATCGTGGATCGTGGATCGTTGATCGCAGCTAGTGGATCGTGGATCGTGGATCGTGGATCGCGGATATTGGATACCCGTCCGTCCCGTGCTTTGCATGATCGAGTCTGAAATCAACCTCATTAGACA